CGCTTTGGGATCCAATTTCGGCTGCGCGTCGCTCGTTGATCTATTTGGGAGTTACAGAAGATAATGGAATTAGTAAATCATTTTGCACAAATCTTTTGAAAGAGATCACAACTACAAAGCTATTATCAGATATAAGTTGGAATAACAAAGTCAGATGTTAATAATGTTCATCTAAGTCGGAAGAAACTATGAGCAAATAGTCAAGGTAAACTTTAACAAAATCTTTAGTTGTACTGTTGACAAACATCTGGAAAGTCTGAGCAGCGTTACGCAAACCAAACGTCATATGTAGGAACTCAAACAGACCCGAAAGAGTTGTAACAGTAGTCTTTTCGATATCTTCAGTGGAGACTTCAATTTGATGGTAAACTCGGACCAGATAGATCTTAGAAAAAATAATCTCGCGATGAAGTGATGCTCTAATGTCGTTTATATGTGGGGTGGGATAACTATCAAAACGAGTAACTGTGTTAAGTGACCGATAGTTGCCAAATGGTTCCCAGCTCTCATTTTTAATAACCATGTGTAGAGGAGAGGCCCATGGACTATGAGAAGCACGTATGATACCTTTTGAAAGTAACGTGTCGAACTCACTCTTAGCAAACTAAATTGTCCGGTGCCAGTCGGCGATTTCTTGCCGTGACTGGTGGGCCCTTAATGACTATGTAGTGAGCAACACGATCAGTCACTAGTAGAAAATTCTCGAAAGGTTTTTGAACCTGGGGACTAGGGCGATCAATTTCTGACAATCCACAGGGATATCAGGCATTGAACCCATGTTTCGATAAATGTCTGTGCGGGCTTTGACACCCGTGACTTACATATTCGACTTTGGGTCGATCAACTGCAGCCTAAGTGAATCGACAAGCAATTCATAGTACCACAGGAAATCTATACCCAGTATTCCAGTGGGAACATTCGCCATCTCGAACCTTTTTCTCTGACACCTTGTCCACTTTGTGTTCCATTTGTAATTATGCTCAATGCGACCTTCAAAGTTTTCCTCTTCGGCTTCTCATATATGGATGATTATGTTGTACATTTGATCATGCTTATGCATGCTTCACGGGTCTCCATGAAATATACACTTATTATTATTATAAACGTTCATGGATGCCGCCGTTAAACTCCCAGATTGACTGTTAGTTGCCTTGTTCCAAACGTAGAGATGGAAGTGCCATTCGCAGCGCATATCCGAAGCGTCGTGGCTTGCTGCTACCGATAGAAAAGACTGATACCTGGGCTCCCGTATCTACGAAGAACCTAGCGTTCGTGTGTTGGTCACGTACGAAAAACAGACGGCCAACCTGGGGAGGTGGGCCGGCGAGTACGGTTGCTTATACTCGCCGGCTTACCCTTTTCCCGTCGCATAGGTGCGGGGCTTCCTGAAACTGCGATCACCTATAGCCATAGCCACGATGGAACCAGCAGTTGGGGTCATCCGGGGCTTTGGGTGGTTTGCGCTGTGATGGCTTCTGATTGGATTGCTTTTGGCTAACGTGGGCAGACCATGCTACCCGTTCGAGCCTAGGCTTAGCTCTACATGGGTTCGCAGTGGGCACCGGTACTCTGTCCTTGAAGGACGAGCGGTGCTGTAGGCAATGTGGTCGTGGCTCTGAAGGCCCTACCGCATACCTACCTCTATTCCTTTTGTATGGTTGCGATGTCGTGGCAACGAGAAAGTTATTCTCGCTACCGACACGTACAACCATTTTGTCAGCAATCGACGCAGCTTTGTCGATCGAGGCGTCCTCTAGCAAAGCCATTACCGTCGGTTGGGCGTGATGTGGTAATGACTCGAGCAACAGCCTTCTGACAATGTCGGAGTGGGCGTTTGCTGGGCCGGCTAACGTGCGCAGACGTGCCAGATGCTTGCTTAGCATTGTATCACCAATCGGGTGACGATCCAACAACTGGCGCAACCGTTCCTCGTTAGAGAGGGTGTGTACCTGAAGGATTGCAGCTTTCAGAACATCGTACACGTTATCCTCCGGTGGCTTAAGGATAATATCCCTAATGGCAGACATTTGGTCGCCAGGGATCGCCTATGCCGCGTAAACGTAGTTACAGTGCTGGCTGAGCACGTTTCGAGCTAAACACTGGGTTTCTGATGCGGCAAACCACACCTCGGGTTCGTGGGGGTGAAAGCTACCGGCTCAAAACTAATAGTCAATAGGTCCAGTTCCCTGTCGTCAACTGATTTACACTCCTTTCGTGCATCGTGCATTTGCAATAAATAATTATATTGTGCAAATGAAAACGAACCGGGAGAAAAATGGTGCAAATCAAAGTGGATTGGTCTCACCAAGTAGACGTTACGGGCTTACCAATGAAACTAATTGGCGTTGACTGCCTGCCAATAAGTCTTCCTACGGTTCTCGAACAAAGCGCGTGACCTCCTAATGTCTCCTTGCCCGAGGTAGACAAAAACACTAGTGGTGGTCGTAGACGTTTATTGGCATATCGTGGTAGTAGATAGTGACGACTAAACAATGCAATAAATGCAGTAGCAAAAAGATAGCACATCACCCATGTTGCGTGAATTTGAACAGGACCCAGCTTGTATATTCACCTTAGCGGAAAACCGTGCTCAGGAAAACAAGCAGTGAAGTAAAACAAAGAAATATCTCAGTTGGAGACAGAGTTGACTGTGAAGAAAATATTAACGGAAATCGTCCGGGGGGTTTCCTCCTTTTCTTTTTTTGGTTATAATCACTACACGTCCTCAATTATACAGGACTGATTAGAAAATGAACCTGTCCTGATATTAATCACCAGCATCGGGTGAAGGTGCTTTTGGTCCGCAATTTGATGATCACGTCCAGCTTGAATGGATTGATCAAGAAACTGAGAAAAGCAAGAGTCAAGGAGAGAATACTGTCGCTGCGAAACTGTCGGTTGAAGAACCGTTACACCGGAGGTGGTGATCTCTGCAAATGAAGTGTGTTGGGTCTTAAGCGAGCTCATTCCTGCTGAGGCATCAGGGCCAGACGACATTCACCGTGCTATCCTGAAAAGTTGGTTGAGCTCCTTGCTAGACTATTCAACGCCTCCGTCACCCAACACGGCTATGGACTGGCCACTGGCATCGGTCATCCCTATCCACAAGGGAGGAAAGCGTAAGTTGTGTTCTAACTATCGTCCATTCAGCCTGACATCGGCAATGCTGAAACTAATGAAGAGAATAATACGCGCTAGGATCACCGAATACGTGGTAACCGCAGGCTCATTGACGGCTGATTAACAAGGGTTCAGAAGGAGGAAGTCCTGCATGTCAAATCTCCTCTGCTCCNGATGAAGTAACCAAGAGGATCAGCAGAAGGGTCGAAGTTGAGGTATACCACCTAGACTTCCAGAAAGTATTTGACCCCGTCAATCACATACTAATGACGACGAAGCTGAAGGCTTTCGGGCTGCCTGAAGGACTCCTAGAATGTATATGCTGCTGCTTTACAGGTCGGAAGTTGTTGTTAGGATGGACAACAGTATACCGAACCAGAGACGAGTGTTTAGTGGAGTGCCGCAGGGCTCTGTCCTAGGTATACTACTTTTTCTGCTTTACACCAACGACCTCAGTACCGACCTGGAAAACCACTACCAGAAGTTGGGTGGTGAGGTGAAAATCATTGTAGCATCCGCGACAGAGTCGATCCAGAGAGATATCGACGAAATATGCGTCGTCGGTTAAATGGAAACTGCCCCCTAAAAGTCTGAAATGTCAACAGCTGTTCAGAAAAGGAAACATACAAGGTGGTAGAGCACTGGAACCCCCGGACCAGTCCCAACAGATACCCACCGAGTCCACAGCCGGAGACCTAGATGTCGTTGCTAGTGTGGATTTCAAACCTGGACTCCGACGCCGAGAGGCAGCAATACGGGTATCAAGAGGGTTACACCAGCTAAGAAGTGCGGTGAGCTCAGGGAAACCCAAAGTCTTGCTTACTCTCCACAAGACTAATGTGCGACTGCACCTCGAGTACGGTGCCAATGCTTGGAGCCCAATTCTGATCCGGGACATGAAAACGTTGGAATCAGTCTAACGTCGCTTCACCAAATGGTTTTGCGGGTTTAAGATATCTCTCTTACAAGAGGCGTCTCGAAGCCTGAAACCTCTTCTCGTTGAGTAGGCGCAGGCGACGTATAGACTTTATCGAAACAAACAAAATCCTGGGGGGCTTCATGGACGTACCAAAGGGTGCGTTGATCAAGCTCAGTGAAGTAATAAACCCGAGAGGACATGCCCTAAAACGGATTAAAGAGAGTTTGGGGAATCGCCTGCGAGCGTTCTCCATCGCCACGAGAGTTGTGAATGACTGGATTAGATTTCCGTATAAAATCATTGCTGCCAACTCGACAGCAGATTTCAGGCGCAGGCTAGACATTATGTATGAACTAAGGTGTTCGAGGGGGAGGGGACTGAGTTGGACAGTATGGATACAGCTGACTCAGGGACCGCTACCCATTTATTGCGAAATCTCCCCAAGTCACATCTTCATCTTGGCTTTTACTTCGTTCTCCCCCAACCTCTCTATGGGTTCTAGGTTTATCATTTACTCTACGTCTAGTATATACCTCTACCCTTTTACACAAACTTCTTAGTCCCATTGGATGGTTTGGCCGTCCCATGAGTCTGAAAGTTGTAACACCAATCATGATAAAACCCCTCAGACTGGAGCCCTGTAAAGGGGGCCTCTCCTGGTCCTTGTATACTATTCGTTTAATTGAAGAAGAATTTTCTCATTCTGTTGTCGTAGTGTAGGCGCTGGTTTATTGATATCCCGAGCTAATATGTTTGTGTCGCAAACGAACGTTCGTACGAAAACAGAACGAGACGATTCACGAAACGGAGAAAGGGTTGTATTGTTACCATCTGCAAGGCAAGAGAGATACGGAGACGTGAGGAAGCGAGCGGAAGGTGAAAGCAAACACGTGCTGGTCAAAGCGGTGGCCTTGGTGTGGTAAAACAATGAGATGCAAACGAGGAAGGGTATATGTAGAATGGGAGTTGGTTGGTCACTACGGAGCTCCCACTCTCTCTCTGGAAGGTTAAAAAGAGCCTTAAATAAGGGTGAATACATTATTTGCCGTGATTTGCTAATCCGAAAAATTGGATCGCTTGATGGGTTGTTACGGAAATATTGGGAATCAAGTGTCATAATAGTTATAGTCGATGTGGCAGGGGTTGCTGGTTCACAAAAGAAAGGTGGGGTAATAAAAATATCATGGAAAAACGTCTGCAGGTCCGTCGTCCTTTCACTACTTGCCCCTTTTTGGTTTGTACTTGGAGAAAATAGGAGGACTGTCGCAGCTGTGCACGAGCCAGTAAAAAAGCTGACGGGGCTGTCAGAAAAAGGTCTTCGATACCCATATTGTGCTGGAGCGGTAAGAGGAGTGGAGAACGTGCCCATCTTCCTTTTTCCTGCGTTCTCCTGGTCGAAGTTTTGTTCACGGGTTTTGAGGTCTCTGGGATTTCTTGGCCGAAGATTTCCTTCCGAGTTTTATTGACGTTGTTTGCTCTTGACCAAAGGTTTCCTCCCGAGGTTTAAATGCAGAGCGCGGAAGAGAACGGAACAAAGAAGGTTGAAATGTGTATGTGTAAATACAGAAAAACGTAAACCATGGTGAAAAAAATAAAAGCAATGAAAAAAGGGATTTTTTTTTGGTTTTTTTCGGTCCCTGCATATATGAATAAACAGGTGAAAAAAAATTTATATCGCAGAATAAATGATTTTGTACGCTGCTAAGTGTGAATACGTGCCACGAGGCAGAACTTACAAGTAACCTAAGGACTGTCCCGCGACTAGTGATCCGATGGGGTGGGTCTGGATCAAGTTCCCGCTTCAAGAGTGTCACGGGTTTAACCGGGGTGAAGGTAGGTGGACTTTCTGGGACAGGAGTTGCGGGCGGCGCAATGGGTGGGGGCGATTAACGGAAGGGACGGTTTCCTCCGAAAGCGCATGTTTCAGTCAGTCCATACTAACAGTCTCACGTTTACCGTTGCGCTCCCTTACGTAGGCTTTCTCTAGGCATCGCAGTACCTTATATGGGCCGCTGTATTGAGGTAGCAGTGGTGCGAGAACCTCTGCCCTGAGGAAAACGTGCGAGCCTTCGGCTAATTGCGGGGGAGGTAGGCTATGGGTATGTGCTGGCGAGGTGGTTGGATATGCAACTGTCGCGTGCGATGTACCAAAGTAGCTGCATAGTCACTGCTGCATCTGCTTGGGCTCGTAGTTCCAATATGCGTATGGGTCCTCTTTCTTTCCTCGTCTATGTTCCAGTATCCAATGTGCTTCGGGCACATACAAACCAATCAGAACATCAACCATCGGATAGCTCGTTTTGGGAATGTCAACTCCCTTTAAGTGACACAATCTAGAAAGCGTTCCAGCATCTGGTGTTGAGACAGGACTCTTGAGTACATACGCGATGGTGTACGCCTTCTGGATATCTATTTCTTCGGCGCCATCCAAGGACTTTGCCCTAAAGATTAAACTGGTACACCTTTTGTCGGTATTCCCTAACGGCGTATTCAGGAAAATGTCCTCTGGTTTACCCTTTAGACCCAATTGAACTGCTAGGTCCGCTCGTATCAGGGAAGTGTCGGCTCCTGTGTCCAACAGGGCGTTAGTTATCGAGACCCAATAGGACACTCAACAATTACTGGGATGATTCCCAAACTCACTCCACAGCCCTTGGAAAACAGCTGACACGAAGCAGTATAAACTCTGGGCACCTCCTTCTCTTGATGCAGTAACTCGTGGGGCACACGGAGACAGCCCTTTTTCTCGCACCTGGTTTTTGACAAACACTTCTCATTCCGGTGCCCTGGTTGGAGACACCTAAAACTTAACCTGTGTTTAGGAACCATCAACCAACGATCTTGTGCGGACACCTTTCGTAACTCTTGGCAATCGTCTACAAAGTGGTTTAGTTCACAAATGAAACATGCCTCATTATTGGACGCAAAAGTAAATGCCTTCTTTTGCGTCACAGCTCTATTGTTAGTGTCAGTTAGAGATCTACGATC